ATCACTCTATAAGCGCATGACCTGCAAAAAAAGAGCACAAAAGGCGAACAAGTTCTAACCGTTTATGGAAACAAATTTCCATCTGTCTTTGTTTATCTCGTTCATCAAGAGGAAGAGAGTTGGCATCAGCCTTGATCACTATCCCCATCTCTGTCTTTCTCTCTGCCACCCACTCATTTCTCTTTTTCGCACGTGTGTTGCTCCAATTGCATTTAATCGCCTTTCATTAACTGCTGCACTCTCCATCGCTCTCTTTTCGCTCCTCCACACGGGTTCAAAGTACAAAGTCGGCTCCCACTGACGTCATGGCTTCGGTTTCAATTACAGTTACAGTTTCGGTTTCGGCAGGCCATTAAACTAAGCAAATACAAATAACAAAAAATCACAAAAACACACAGCGATCGTTGGGGCATACATATATGTATATACAAAACATACTTATAATAAACAACGGAGAGCAAGAGGAACAACAAAAGCACACAGCAACAGAGCAACAAGACAACAAAACACAACACTCACTAGGCGAGTGCCAGTCCAAAGTCCAATTGGCATTTCGAAGACTCGGGTCCAAAGTCCAATTCGGTCGGGTTTTCTGCTCCCAGCCAGTCATAGCTCCCCCCCACGAAGAGCCCCCCCTCGAGCGTTTACAAGTGTTGTCTGCTCCGAAAGAAGAGAGCCACGCTCTTTTTGTTCTCCCCTGAATTTTCTCGGGCTCCACTTTGTTTACCTTTGCGGAGAGTTCTCCCTTAAGCTCGCTCTTCGCGAGACTCTTAAGAAAATTAAATGTAAGAAACAGGTGTAGATGCGCTTGTAATTCTACCCTTGCTAATTTACGAGTGATAATAAAAGCAGGGAAATTAAAGGAAACATAAAATTTGTTTACTCAAAGTCTGCTTCCATGTGCTCCAATCATTTTTATAGACATTTACCTCAAAGCACAACACATTCTTTAAAAACAAAGCGTGGATTCCGAAAACTGGAGCAACGAATTGCAATGTTTAAAAGAAATAGAACAGTTGACTAACTAAAGTTATTTTAAGAACGCAATATCTATTCGAAAATCAAAATGCTGTTTCCTTTCCTTTCGCAATTCAACATAACAAGCAGGTGTAATTTTACAAGCAGATTTAACGACTAGTAATAAAACACATATGTACATATGTAGGTATGTGTAAGTAAGAAAAAATCATTGAAAATACTTTCAGAATTTAAGTGCGAATAACTATAAATAAACTCAATGAAATTTCAGTTTCCCCATTTAATGTCTTAAGGGGTTTCGCAAATACAGATATCTTAAGAGTCTTAATAAAAAGTAAGACAACAGCACGTGCAAATATTGTAGAGGCTACTTTACCCGCTTGTTGCCCTCCGATTCGCTATAGTAAAAACCCCAAATATGGCCAGCAATAACGGCAAATAAGTCTTTATATTCGGATCCGCTGTATTACGAAATGCATTAAGGCGTATAATCAAGAAGGGTACTTTTGTCATCTTTTTTTTTTTTTTTTTTTTTTAGAGGGGGTGGAGATTTGCGAATTTAATTCGCATATCAGTATGGGAATTACGAAAGTTTCGGTTATGTCAGGCTTTTCGGTGGAGCTTGAGTTGCCGGCTTATTTGTTATTGCCGCTATTGTTGCTCTGAAAATAAGTTCACGTTTCGCATTTAGCAGGCAGCAGCGAATCGCTTTCGTGTTTTATTTAATTTTAGCGAAATCCACAAAAGTGGACTTTGCACTTGACAGCGGCGACGCCAGCGACGATTTTTCTGTATTTTTTCTGTATTTTTCTGTATTTTTGTTATTTCTGCGGTGAATGAATGTTCATATATATGTATATATGTATATAGTATACGGACTTGTATTTTGTTTTTGGTTCCGCTTGTTGCCACGTTTTGCTCTCCAATCCAAAATAAATTTAAAAAAATAAAGTACAGAATTATTTCTATGAGCACAACTTGTTGGAATGAATGTGTTGCCTAATTGGTATAAAATGCTTAAATCTTTTTTGCATGGCATTTAAGCTTTTGCGGTGAACCCGAAAATGGGGAAGAATTGCGGTTTAATATTGTCAAAACCAATTTTCACCCCATAACAAACTATAAAAAAGACCATTAAGATAAAATAAAGCTGATTAAATGGTTTTATAATTTCCAAATATAGTTCGAAATTGCAAAGAACACTCTCACTATTTTTAACTATAGTATAATGTTAAATGCGGCTAAAGAACCAAATTAAATTCCCAATATTTTGTAACAATTTAAGTGAGCTAATTAAATTGTTTAGAACACGGATAAATTTCTGATTTATAAAGAAGCTCGTGGTTAACAAAAACTATTTTTAATTTGTATACCAAATATTTTATATCTGTCTATAAATTTTCTTTGTTTATTTATTGCGCAATTCTGTTTTGGAAACTTTATGGGTTTGTTGGCCCTGAAATGCTAGAAAATTTTCAAAATATTTCTTACGCTTTGAATTTACTTCATTACGAATTGTAATTAGTTGGGCATTGGGTTACCGACAGATTTATGCGCCATCTGCCAATTGGGTTCCCATTTGCCATCTGTTCGCGGTGATTGCCTAAATTCAGTTAAACATTGCCATTGGCGGAAAATGCGTAGTATATGCGATTGCAGCTATTACCCGAGGAAAAGCTCTCGAGAGGCTTCATTAGATTCGCTCTTCGGTTGTCAACGGCAACCCACGACATTTCAAGACTCCCCCCACCCCCTTTCTCCCCCCTCTCTTACCAATAAACCACCCACCACCCTTCGTTTGAGCCATGATTTCAAGGGCCACAAAGTCGAAGGCAAAGCTTCCGTTTCACGATGAACATCAAATTCACTGTCGGCTGTGTAACAACCGTTACTAAGCTGCCACGCCCCCTTCCTTCATCGACATTCATTCTTGTTCTTGTTCTTGCTCTTGCTCTTCTTCAGACGCCCATTCATTCGAGTGGCATGTAAATTGATCTGCGTACTTGATTAATTAATTGCGTTCGACTTGAAGCCGCTCGAAAACTGCAAACCGCAATTGCCGCCAGCATCTGTCGTCTTAATTAGTCCAACGTGTTGTTCGAGTGGCTTCGTTTTGCGAATCGAATCGGGATTTATTGGATTTCACATTGTCCTTTGTTCAAGGATCCCAAAAGGCTGTTGCTTTCTACGAAATTCCTATTATTTCCCAGGAATTTATGAATACAATAAGCTGAGAAGTAATTAAGTTGGCATGCATTATATTCAGGAATTTATTTATTATTTCGCCGAGAAAAAAATAAATTGGCATGCATAATTTTTAGGAATTTATTTATTATTTTAATTTTATTTAAATTATAAATGTGTATATTTATTAATTTGAAATTTGTTTTACACATTGTTTTAAAGTTTTTCGGATATCATACTATTTTTATAAAGTCTGAAGATTTTAAAACCTAATCATTGGCTGCCAAAAGTATGCTTTAAAATTCAACATCTCTGAAATAACCTACCATTTTCTTTAAAAAATGACTTGCTTTCTGCAGGTTCAAATTACAGAATTTACCAGCGATAAGCAAAGTAAAACAGTAACCAAGAAAGCAACTAGAAAAATGTCTCGAATTTCACTTTAATGGCTTATAATTCCACTCATAAATTTAAACACCACCCACTTAGTAATCTATTACATTTTCCCTGCCATTTTGTGTTTTTTTTTCTCGCTTTTTCGCCTAATTGGAAATGGGGAAAAATGTGCGAAGGCGTTGATGCGTGAGCAACTTGTTGCCTTGGCTAAGCAGGAAAAACGGAAAGTCGGGTAATACATATATCTCATTATGCAAAGTGCTGCTGGGGGGAGGAGACTTTAGACTATATCCATGGGGTAATGGGGAGTACGTACCAGTATTTAAAGGTGGGCCCCGAGGCTCCAAGTTCAAACAAAACACGAAGCTACGCTGTTGTATATTGTTTTCAAATTTCATTTTTCCTGCCTTTTTTTTTTTTTTTGGCTACAGCCAATGCAACTTTGCCTTTGGGGGATTGGCTGGCTGGAAAAGTGAACCAAAAATGAGGGGGAGGGGGAGAGGGGGAGGAGGGGGTATATTTTCGACTTGTTAAAACCAACCGACAGACAGAGAGCGTCATCATCATCAACAGGCATTATGAACCGCACATGAGGATGTTGTTTGCCACGAGATGCTGCCAGCATTTGAACTCGTTCCATTCCGAAATGATGACACGCTCGTTGCATAAGCAAATATTTCTGGAAAACCACAGCAGCCACCCACAAGTTTTTCCCCCTCCCCCTTCCCCTCTGCCTGCTCCACTTTCCCCCGCTTTTCACCAATCCATCCGCTTGAGAGTGGCAGTTGTTGCTGCCGCTGCTGCGGATGTTGCCGCTGTCATCGCAAAATGTTGGTAGATAGTCGACAGGACATGCTTTTGGCCAACTCTCCTCCTGCCGCGTGCCGCATGTCGCTGACAGGCTCTGTCGAGCTGAATTGATAAGTCGCTGATCCAGAATAGATTGAAAAACATTTAGACCAAACTTTAATTCCTCCGAGCTGCGAGACAAAGGAATTTCCTTCCGCAACGGAAAATGGCTGAGGGTTATAGTTTGCATAGTTTGGAGCCTATTAATTTAATAGAACAAGGGAGTCTTCATAACAACTAGTTAAATGTTCAGAAGTTTATAGTAGAGATCCATTATACTGGGAAAAAGGTAATCAAATTATAAAAAAATTATAAAACAATGTATGATGACTGATCTGAAATACTTTATTGTGTTTGCATTTGGAAAATAAATACAAACAGAATAGTAGTGGTCTTATAATGTAGATTCAATTTTGAATTATTAAACATGAATTTTTTCTAACAAAGGGTATTAAAATCAGCCATGCAAACAGTGAGGTTTATTTGTTATTTGATTTTAAATATGCAATAAATCTTATTATATATTATTATATTTACTTACAGAATTACAGAACTTCTCAACTAACCCTTCGTTTATTTTCCTTCAATTCCAGGTCTGTCGCGCCCTGAACATCATCTGCGAGATGGAGTACTTCGGCCTGGAGCACTGGACGCCCAACCAGAAGGAGTCGCAGACGCGGCAGTGGATTAACCTGCGCAACCGGCTCTCAGGAGACAGTGGCAGCAGTGGCAGTGGCATCCAGTTGATGCTGGCCCTGCGGGTCAAGTTCTGGGTGCCGGTGCACTTCATCCTGCAGGAGAGTGTGCGGAATCTGTTCTACATGCAGGCGAGAAGGGATCTTCTGGAGGGTCGTCTTTCCGCTCCCGATTGGAGTGGAGCAGCCAAGCTGGCAGCTCTCCTCTGCCAAGCAGATGGTCTACGCTTTAATGAGTCATCTTTGAGGGCCGACTGCCCGATGAGAATGCGAAGGGAGTTGGCCCAACAGCAGCAGCAACAGCAACAGCAGCAACAACAGAGATTGGAGCAGCAGCGAAAGGAGAAGGAACATGTCCTGAGTTTCAAGAAAAGGAGGTTATCCAAACAGAAATCCATGGAACACATCGAGATCTGCACGCTGCCCACAACGAATAGCATCACAAGTTGCAGTCTCCAGCCATCGCCATCCGCCTCTGCATCCGCCTCCGCCTCCGCATCCGCTTCAGCATCTGCATCCGCATCCGCATCCGCCTCGACATCCGCGTGCTCGCAAACGCATTCGAACAGCAGTTCCAGCAGTCCGAGCAACAGCAGCAGTCAAACGGGACTGGATGAGCGGCTGGCCAGCAATCCGCTGCGGATGTACGAGGAGTACCTGATCCAGCCGAGTTCCGAGGGCGAACCGCCGGCGGATTATCTCCGCCAGATCGCCATGGAGCACGGCAAGCTGGCCAAGCTGCAGATGAGCATCAAGTCGGCCAAGTACTGGTTGCTGAAGTCCATCCAGGACTTGGAGGGCTATGCCGAGGAGCTGTTCAGCGGAGTGACCACCAACGAGAGTGCCACGCGGTGCGACATCGCGGTGGGCGCCCATGGCATCACCGTCTGCAAGGGGGGTGAGAAACAAAGGTGAGTTCAGGGATCTATAATGGCATTTTCTATAACTCGAATCCATTACTTAAAGCCACCAAGTGTCAAGAACATTTTTTATGAAAAAACGTTTTAACTTGAACCTTATATATGTACTTATAAATTGCAAAATATACCTAGAGATGAGAAACATTATTAACTAATCTATCTTTTAATTTGGGAATTGTATAACCCTTACAGTTCTTATATTAAATTTAACTGATTTGTATGCTTAATACAACTCACAGTAAAAATACAATCGAATAAATCAACGAAATCATTTTTGAGTTCACCCCTACGCTTCAAATTTTATTATTTTGTTTACTTTCTGTACATTTTGAACCAAACCCGACTTAATGAATTCATAAAACAAAAGTCAAGGTGATGCCTTGAAAAAACACCTTGGAGAAAAATGTTGCATGAAACGAACACCGCGTTCTTAAAAGTAGAAGGTACATTAACCTGAATGATTAAATGGCCTTTTTATGGCTACTTACGAAATGATTTTGCATTAGGTTTATATAGCGCAAAATTACAGTCATAGGTCTCGTTTTTTATAGAACCCACTTTCTGCGTTATAAACCTGAATAAGGGGGCCTTATAATTAAGTTAAAAAATGTCTATAAACCCAGTTAATATTGTTATTACAGTGGGTTAACATTTAAGAGGGGCTATCAAAAATCTCTGGAGATTTGCAATCACCCAAAAATGCTGCATAAAAGTATGCTATGATTTATTTTTAAAATCTCAAAAGGAAAACTTGCGAAATTGTTTAAATTAGATTGGAATAATTTGTTTGATTTATAGATGAGTATTTAGTATATCTTTTCAGGTACATTAAAATCTGTATAAATTTCTTCTAGGGTTTTCTTGATTCGAGTTATAGGATCTCGTTTGTTTGGTTAATTACAATAAAACTAATCAATTTTGTTTCTCTGATATTTAGCATCCCCTTTGGCGCCATCGCTGCGGCCAAGTCGCTGCGTCGCACCTTCAAGCTGGAGTATGTGGACGACCACAACGATCGGAAGGAGCTGGAGATCAAGCTGCCCAAGCAGCCGATTGCCGCAGGACTCTACCGCTCCATCACAGAAAGGCATGCGTTCTACGTGTGCGACAAAGTGCGCGGAGTGGTGACCAACCAGTTCACCAGGGATCTCAAGGGCACCATCGCCTCGATGTTCATGGAGAACACGGAGCTGGGCAAGCGGTATGTGTTCGATATCCAGCACACCTGCCGCGAGGTTCACGACCAGGCGAGAAGGACGCTCCACGAACGGGGAGGAGATCTGGTGGCCGAGGGAGCCGAAGGATGCTCTGCTGCCGTTGGCGGAGGACTGGGCGCCGCTGCCGGTGATCCGCTGGACGATGTGGCCGGGGTCAGTGGGCTGTCGATGTCGATGACGATGGGGATGGCGACTGGTGGCGGCGGCTCCATGGCCGGCAAGATAGATTTGGCCATTCGCGAGAAGGAGGCGCGTGAGGCGGCGATTGAGCGCTGCGTGGACACGCGCATCTCGGAGGCCATGCAGTGCAAGATCTGCATGGACCGCGCCATCAACACAATGTTCAATCCCTGCTGTCACGTCATCGCCTGTGCCCAGTGCGCTGCGAGGTGAGTTGTCCCTTTGAAGAGGGTCCTTGCACTCTTATTTGAAAAAGAAGCCTTTAGTTTAGAGTATCAGTTCAGAAGCTACCTAGAAAAATTAACATTGAAAATCGCACCAAAAGTTATTTAAATTATTTTACTATCTGTTTCACAATTTAAATAAAAAGGGAACTTGTTACAAAAAGAATTGTTATTAAAAGCTAGATTGTAATACAGTTTGTTTTTAAACTTTGTTTTTGATTGTTTTATTCAAGGATCATAACAAATTTATGTTTTTTTTTTACTTCAAATATGTCTGATAAATATTCATTAGCTTCAATTACCAGCTTCGTTTTAGTAATGCAACAACTTTTGAAACGTTGAAAAAAATACAATTAGATTTACATAATTACATTTTCTTTATTTTTGAATGGGGATAAATTGTATAATTTATGAAAACAAAACTAAAGGGCACTTTTCTGATATAAGAGGTTTATTTTCTTTAACTTTTGTTTAATGAATCTAAACTAATTTTATTATTTCTACCTTGCAGATGCAGCAACTGCCCGAACTGCCGGGTGAAGATAACGAGCGTGGTCAAAATCTATCTGCCGCCGGAGCTGCGCACCAGTCAAGTCGATGGCGGCGCCACAACCGCCAGCGGCAGCAGCAGCATCACTCACCTCGATGGCAGTGGCCACCAGATGGAGGAGCAGCTCCACCAGCTGGAGGAGATCTCAATGGCATCCGGATCCCTGGAGGCGGGATCCTCGGCGGGAGCAACCGGAAACGGAAACGGAATTGGAGGGCAGCCGAAGGTCACGACGGCCGCCTAGAATTGGTTGTGCTCGCTGCTGTTCCGGCTGATGGAATGGGTGTGCGTGCCGATTGTCTGAGATGCAACATGATCCACTAACGATTCTATTTGACCACAACACCTAAATGGGAACAAACCAGCTAAAACAAACGAGCAACTAGCAACTAGCAACTAGCAACATGCAACATGCAACATGTCATGTGCAACATGCAGAAGGGAATTTGTTCTAGGGAAAAGATAAGAATTCGAAATGGAGTAGTCAGTCTGTCAACAATCTTAGCTCTATCTTTACTCAAGTATTTTACGGATATAAGCAACTGAAAACTTTAACTGTAACTGTAAACTCGTAACTCTAACTATGATCTAGATATGCTAGCGATTTACACGATATACTATACTATATGATATATTTACTATTTATAGATGTACGGACTTCGAGAAAGTGCTATTTAAACTCGTCTAAGACTTCACTGCATAGCCTATGCCTAGAATCTATAACTGCAGATTGTTTCATATTCATATACACACTGTATACACATAGATACTATATATTTACGATCGTTATAGATCAGCGATACCTTATACGATATAGCCCTTGAATGTACAACATAGTTACTTACTAAATGTTAGTCATTTTACCAACTAAACTCGAGATGTATTTATTAACGCCTAAACTCTTTAGTATTCCAACTCCCCCAAAAACCCAGAAAGCCCCCCCCAAGAAACCCCCCAATTCTCACATATATCCTAAAGAATATACGATATATATATATGTTAGCGTGTGTATATAGGACAAGCGTACAATAATCGCAAACCCAAGGAGCAAAGTAGTACTAAGTACCTGCAAAACAAACAGAAACGGAAACAGAACACGAAACACGAAAAGTATCTCTGCAGTGGATATTACATAGTCAATAATAAATGTTAACAATGTTATACTATATATACATATATATATATATATATACATATAAAAGAAAACCAATGAAAAACCTTAAATGTACCTTGCTATCTGTTGTTTATTGTTTGGAACGTGCAAACTTATTTTATTCTTTCTTTTGTTGAAAACTTTAGTGGAATATTCTTTTCTATCTGGTCGAAATCGTTTTCTATTTTCTTAATTTTCTTCAGAATTCCTCTACAAATTCTTCTCTCTTTTAATTTGGTTTCCTCTTTTCACTTTTTACGTTGATCTGTCTTCGTCCAAAACTGAATTCGAAATAAAAAACTTTCTCAAAAAATGTCATCAAGTTCCTCGCATTTGAAATCATCTAACCTCATCGATATTTCCTTTCATGTTCTTGTTTTTAACCGCTTTGGTATCCTTTTCGGATGGAGGAGTTTAAGAATTAAAGATAATCTGGGAAGTGAGGTCGGCCCATCTACAAATATTTTCGATGAGCATCACCTTTGCTTGTTCCACTTTTGGATTTGACTTTGTATCCTGAAAAAGTTGTTTAGATTCGACCTTATATCTTGGCGGCTTAATTTCCATACCAAGAAGGGTGGCAGCAGCGAAAATATTGGCTTACAAAATTTGTATTGGTTTTCCAATTTGTTCTCGAGACGTCTTATAGTGGAATCTTGGGATGACTAAGATAAAACCCGAATGTGGCATTTTTTTATTGGATGGAAGGCGCGCCGGCAGTATATGGATATAATAAAAAAATAATCATTTTTAATGAAAATCCAATTTATTATGTTAACCAAAAACCCAAGAAAAGGGGAAATAATAAAAAAAACAATATTGAGTCCATTTGGTTGTTTTGGATTTCAGGTTGCACTAAATGGTATAGGCATTTTTTTTAATTCAATTGCGGTTTCACTTTAAGTTTTCTTAAATGCAATGTGTTTATTTTGTAATGATTTACTTATATTTACCTTGCAATTTTTAACTATTTAGTCTTACGGAAAAAGTTTTTAAAAGTTGGCGCCGAAATAAGCCATTAACGCTTTAGTACATTACTCAATTTGAGCCAGACATGAGTATCAGCTGATGTCATGCTTCTTCTTATGCCTCTGACATTCACCACCTAAATATGTTTTATTTTAAATAAATAAATTAAAATCAATTGGGAAAGTTAAAATATAACCATGAAGCCTTATAAATAATTTGATAAATTTTAAAAATATCCACAAAAATCGAACGATGTGGCCACTCTGCCAGCCAGGTGGCAAATTCGCGTTAGCGTGTGACTGCTGCTCTTCTTCTTACACTGCTGCTGCAATTATATATCGCTGTTCCGTCGACTTCGCCGATCCACCTCCGCGCTAAAATCGCTATATTGCTCAACGCCCCGCGAATTTTCCGTAAATATTGCTATTAAACGGTGGCATTAAAAATTACGCAGAAATAAAAGGGTTAGCATAACAAACGGGAAAAACACACAAACTCACACACGCGTACGCCATCAGCTGACGCCGGCAGAGGCAGCAGCAGCGACTGAGCAGCGGCAGCAACAAGCAACAAAAGCAAAAGGCAAACAATTGGATAAGCACTATTAAGGTGTTAAAAACGCTGGTAACCTAACAAGTCCAAGAGTTCAGCTTGAGAAGGTAACAGATCCAAGGTCATAGCGCTAAAAAGAAAAAGAAAATAACATTGACTTTTGTTGTTGTTTTTGCTCCTGCAACAGTTGCAGTGCGTGAGTGTGTGTGTGTGATCGCGATCGCACGTCTTTGTCGCACTCACTTTGAAGTGCTGCCGGTGAAATGGTGTCGCCTTTCGCTGCCGACGTCGACGTCGCTCGGCCAGCGTCGCTGCCGGCGTCAGCGCAGAGACCACCGCAGCGGCCATGAAACGAAATTTGTGTTCTGAATTCTGTAAAAATGTTTACAAATGCGAACATTATACACTGGCAGAAAACGAAAGTCAACAAAATCACACAATACGGACCAATAATAAATGTAAAAAAGAAAAACAGCTGGGAGTACAAGCCTAACAAAAATTGTGTAATACCATATCAATCAATTAAACGATTCCATAACTGCTCCTAATTTCATTTACTGAACTGTAAAAACAAAAATGTGTCTAGGAAGCAAAATAAAACGAGTGAAACCTAACGAGTAAATTAAATTAAAAACGTTCGTATCCTTATCACATTGTTCTTTTATAAAATTATAATTTCAAAACATTAACATTAAAATAATAAATTTAAAAACACACGCATTAGGTCCCTTCTAGATTATTCAACCCCAACAAAAATCATAAAAAAAAACAAATAAGAATAAGAAGTAAACATCAAAAGTATGTAAACAAAAATAAATAAAAGTCTGTTAAGTCAGCTCAAAATCAATAAACCAAACATATAATGGGTATCGGAAACACACAATGATAAACCCAAAAATAATACTACAATTGCTCAATTCAAAATTCTAAAAATCCACTAGTGCTCTTAATAGCTTCAAAAGCAAGTGAAAAGATAAAGCAAAGAGTGTTAACAGAAACGAAATAAAGAAACCCCGAAAGGAAAGTCCAGAAAAGTGCCTGAAACCAAATGTGTTTTCCCTGAAGTTAAATCCCTTCGATCCCTCAACTCGGCTTTAATTCCCGTAAAGCCCTTCTTTCACCTGTTCCCACCTTCAATCAACACAATAATTCCCTGACAAAAACAAGCACATGAGTTGGATTAATAGGAGTCAACTGGAATAGGCCGAAGCACCCCGGAGCACAGGTCAGTATCGGAACAATCAGGCCATATTAACTGCCATCAATCAGTTAAAATATTAAAATACCGTTTGCTCAATTGGATGGTTCGCCTTGAATCGGTTGAAACCGGTTGCCGGTTACCGGTTCAATTCGCAAGCCGGCGAAAGACAAATTGAAAATTCAATTAATTTAAATCAATTTTAAATCGACAGTTTGGTTCCATTCGGTTTCAATCAAATGTGTCCGCCTCAAACTCAACTTTATCATAAAATTGCAATTAAAGATTGCGTAAGTTCAGGCGAATGAGAAATTGCAAATGCTCTATAGCTATATTTAATACATATATTATAACTACTGAGTTATGATTTTCTAGCGGCGTAATATTTAAGTCACGGTCTGGCGAAAGAAAACAATTTTTATGGATACAAACAGGGCGAAACCGATAGCAAAGTACTGAGTCATGAATTCACAGGAAAATTGATTTTTAATCAAGTTTTTTTATGAGTTTTATAAATTACAATCCTAAAAGAATTTATAAATAAAAAATCTGCTGTATATCAAATGTGTTACTCCAGATCTTAGCAAAATATACACGCATTTATTTATTCATTTAAATCGCAAATCGCGTTGTTTGTGAAATCGGCAAAATTAAATAGTCATTAAAATGGTAATTTAATGAGACTGGCGCCTTTTCGAGCAAACAAAAACAAACCCAATGGTAAATAAAACGAAAACCGAAATAAAAAAGATGATTTATACGATAATTAAATATGTATTTCATTCGACCAACCGTATACACACATATTGGTTCTGTATTTGTCGCATTTGGTTTGAACTTTAAAGAGGGACTTCGGTTATTAATTTAACCTTTTTATTCGGTTTCGTTCTTTTTAGCAGGTCTGAAAACCTGAATACATTGGATGGCCTCTCCTCTCCAGGTTTCTGAGCCCCTTTTAGATGTCCAGTTTTTTTGGGCGCTCTTAATGGAAAAAATGTTGAGCGGTCTTTTTAGTTTGCCCCTCTTCATATTTACCCCTTTTATTTATACCTTTTCAAAGGGTATTTCAATTTTGATACAAACCTTTTTTTATTAAATTTATAAGGTACTAAATTTAAAGGCTACTAAATTTTAAAATATGAATGCATTTCAGATTTGAACTTATTTTGTAATTGGGAAAATACAATTAGATATTTAATACTTAAAAAAAAACAAAGTTTATAGATCTTAGTGCTTACAAAAATTGCAATTATTTCAAACATGTTAAAGGATATAAACTATCAAAGATTAAAGAGTTACCAAGGAATTGGTTGGTTTGTAGGGTAGTTTTACTTTCGATTCCTTCCGTTAACATTCCATTCTCGATTTTGATTGTTTTTGCGTCTGTTTATGTTGCGTGAGGAGGGGCAAAGGGGCTGGGGGCTAGCGAAAATGGAAGAGGGTGCATGGGCGTAGAGGGGGGGGGGGGAGGGGCCGACGTCCTGCCATAAAATTGCATGTCCAAGTTGTTTTATTTGATTATGCGAGTGTGTGCGAATGTTTGCTTTTTGTGTTTTTGCAGGACTTTATTGCGCGGAATGCTATTTAATAAATTCCATTTTTGTCTCCCCCTTCCCCCTCCCTCTTGCTCTTATATTTTTGCTTTTTTTTTTGGTTGTTACGCGGTCAGGATTTATCTGTCCATTCAGTTCTGGCTTTTGTTAGTGTTGTTTCCGCTTTCCATCTTGTTTGTGCAATGCAAATTTTTAAATTCAATTTCGCTCGTAACTTCAATTGTGTCAAAGGCCAGCCAAAAAGTTGAGCAAAATGAAATATGAACATCCCATCCGTAGAAATATGCACAACATCCTTTTTGGCTCGCTGCGTATTCATATTTCATTTTCAGATTTATTATTAAATTCTTCCCCTATTTCCTTTCCTCCAAATGCAGTTCACTTCACGCGACGTTTAGTTTTCCTTCGAGAAAACTGGCACAAAAATAAAAGAATAGATAAAAAGCGACGAACAATAAAGAGACTGCAAAACTTAAGCACCTTAACTCACTTTGCTCTACAGCAAAAAACTCAAAAAAAAAAAAAAAACTCAACATATAATCGAGAAGAGAGCGAAAGAAAAGAATTTTCAACTACGCTAAAAACTTTTCCGAGCAACGCAACTTTTTCTTTCTTGTCCTGAAAAGTTGTTTCAATAGTTATACCCCCGTTGTTATTGTTGTTGTTGTACGAAACTTCCGCTACAGCAATAACTATAACTATGGAAAAAAACAAAAAAAAAACAAAGCCAAGAACATCGACGATAAGCGCGAGTTCAATGGTTAAAGCTTAGTTTTGTTTTTATTTTGGGGAAAGAAAACTTTAAACATTGGTTCGCTGGGTTTTCTATTTCACTTGTTCAGGTTATGCCACGCCCTCAAAAACAAAAAAACAAGGACATGAGAGCCATAAAAATTTTCTGTGAACTGATGGGGGTAAAAAAACAAAAACTTTTAAAAACAACTGCAAGGAAAGGGAAAACAGGGCAGGTGGGCGGTAACAAAAGCAACAATGTTCAAGTGCAGGCACAGGCAAAAACTCTGGAAAACCTAAGAACAGACGCGGTCAACACAATAGACGCGAGCTTTTTAAACTGGTTTTCCAAACTTAAAAATTAAATATGTATTTATATTTTCTTTATGGTGCTTAATTCCCCAATAAATAAATTACAACTAAAAAGTACATGCAGTTTTAGTGAAAAACAACCTAAAATATCAAATTTAAATCGTATAAGATTGTATAAAAAAACATTTAAAAATATTCTGATAACAGCGGTGGTAAATATTTGAATCAATTTGTTTGATTTCCCCATTTGTAAAATAAACCTTTAAAACTTGTGTCTGTTCAAATTGCTAAGGAACTTTTTATGTTTGTTTTTACATACTCTTAAATAAAGCCGCAGCTGTATTATTCAACATATTGAAATGCTTAAAAAAAAACGCGAAACAACTCCTAAAAGCTTGCACCATAAAAATAGGGGAAAAATACAAAATATGAGCTCTCGAAACTGCATTTTCCCCTTTCAGCTGACTGAAAAGCAAAAAAACAATTGCTTGCTCCGCTTTAAAAGCCCCCTACTCAAACAAAAAAATCAATAAAAATGCGCATAAATAAATTAAAAATAATTGCGATATGAAAAACTTCCTTTTTGAATGCTTTTGTTTACATTATACAATTTAATTATGGCCACTAAAATTAGTACTGGAAAATTGCAAACTTTTGTGTAAATAAATAATAACACATTTGATTAGTCGGTGGAAATAACATGGTTACATAACGTTGATTAAAAAAATACAAACTAAAAAGCGTACTCTATTGTTGTTTCTATCTCGATGAGTTTCGCTAAATGAGGGCAACACAAAATTGTTTAGCGAATCTTCTGTGAGGGGGTTGTCTGATTTGGCACATATAGTATGTACTTGATAAAGCGAATTAACACCATTCGGAACTGGCTCGTGCTATAAACAAATAACCGATATATTTAGCCGGGCGTCCGACCAGATTTATCTGGAACTCCAAAGTGCGAAAAAGTTTCGCACATCTGATTTCATCTTCGTGGGGCTTTCCTCTCCGCTGATTTTTCTTTTCCGTTTCGCTCGTTATCGCTTTATATTCAGATGCTCTTTCGAGTGCCCGACTTGCGTCACATGTCTGAAAATTGTTATACATATTAATGAAAACAACGCGTCGCAAAAAAAAAAAAACAAAAAAACCAAGATGGCAAGTAATTCAAATCAAATAAAACCAAATCGGCTCAGAAACAAGAAGCAACGTCCGACAAATCGTCGAATCACTTCAGCATGCAAATTATTTTTTTCTTTTTTGCTTCCATCGCCATTTATTTATACTTCCCACATTGATGATCCCAGAGATCAGGAATCATGATCGCAGAGTGATGCGGGTTATCGCGGGACCCGCTCTGAAATAGGTTATCGCCATCGGCAATCGTTCGATTAACGAGCATCGAATTTCCGATCACAAAAGGCAGCCCACTGGAGGCTGGACTCAAAAAGGGGAATATTTTAAAACAATTCGAAATAAGATTCAATGGATCTTTTATTTCGCTTATTGATTAAATTCTGCAGAATTTGATGTCAAGTACTAAATAAATACGTTCAACATATAAACGTAATTTCTATAATAAAGAAATTCCACAGAAATCTATCACATAATATAAATTGTTTCGTTAGATATTAAACTAGATAAAACTAGATAGATAATAATTTTTTTAAAAAACTCTCAAGGTTCTTGATCTTCAGTTCAAAACCAAAAATATTTGATGATTTTTAATTTTTAAGAACTTGATTTTTAAATTAATTTTACAACTCTTAAACAAATTTGAATGATCTATTCAACTTCTTTTCTTTCCACTGCAGCTGCAAATATTATGGAAAAGGCGAAGGCGTATATCAAGAATGAACTTCGCGGTGGCAGCCAGCAATCCGAGCCAGCGACCACGCCCACTCCGACCTCGCCTGCGTCGGCGGGCAAGCAGCCTTATCCGCCCGTGGAGCTGATGCCCTCGCCGGGAGCAGCGGTCCACCGGAGCAGCAGGACGCCCAACGAGCAGTACCATCCGGGTTACCATCCTCCTCCCTCTCATCATTACTATTCCGGGGTCAAGTCAACCGGAAGAGCTTCAGCTCCACCCGATCATCATCATGTTCCCCTCACCATTTGTTTTGTGTGCGGTGGTCATGGTGGCTATGAACCGCAACCCCTGAGGATTCGCCACAATGCCGAACGTCCTGCGGAATCCTATTTTCCCTTCCTGGAGCGCCATGAACCACCGAATGGAGTGGCGGGTGTGGCACCTGGCCAGGATTACGTGTGGGCCTGCATGCTCTGCTTTCGATCGCTGAACGAACAGTGGGATTCCTACGAGCGCCAAAAGAAACCTCTGCTGCAGAGGATTTACCACATGAAACGGGTGGATGGAAAGGGTTACATTGGAGCAGATGTGGCCACACAAAGCGAGTATGCCGCTCAGGTTTTGGGCCTCAGTGCCGAGCACCTCACCCAGAATGGCTTGGCGGAGGGACATGGAGATCCATACGCTTTATCCAGACACTATTCACCTCAGCAACAGTCGATGCAGCAGCACCACCAGCTGCACCACCAGCAGCAGCACCACCAGCATAATACCTCAAGGAATGCCTCACCCTCGCCAAATCCCAGTGCTACCGGTGGTGGTGGTGGTGGTGTGGGTGATTATTATCCCAGGAACTCAGGAACGCCGTCGAGCCACCACAACAATAGATACCTGAGCAGGCCGCAATCGCGGGATATTTTGCCCGTGGCCTCGCCCACTTCAAGACCGCCCAGCGAACCGCCCGCCATGAAATCGGTTAGTTATGCTCAGCAAAAGTTTAAGTTAAGCTCAGCGGGAGCAGGAGGAGCAGCAGGAGCACCACCCCCACCACCACCTGCTGGTTACCAAGGACAGGCGCCATATCATCCCGCTCAGTATCAGCAGTTGCAGCAGCAAACGGCTGCTTATCATCTGCTGCAGCAGGTGAATGCCACAGAATCCTCCCACTACAAGGGAAATCCCTACAGTGCATTGCCATCACCTGGTGGTGGACCACTGGGACCACCTGCACCGTCCAATCTGGAAGACGATAATGCCACCGTGCTGGATTTAAGGAACTCCTCCAGTTCGTCCAGTGCTAACCAACCTTTAAGTCGCCAGATTGCCAATAACTCTTCGGTGACTTCAAGCAGTCAACCGCCATCGGAAGTGGGAATCCTGGATCTCTCCATGCCCGACAAGAATTCCATTACCGAGGTGTGTTACGTATGTGGGGACGAGCAGCGACGGGGCAGCCTCATCGAGCTGAGTACGGTGAAGCCTCGGGAGAGCGGACGTCTGGGTCAACCTGTGGCGTACTTTCCGCTCTTCAACGAACAGCATCCGCGACCAGCTCGCTCCCGTCCAAAGGATCCACGTGGCATGATTCAGGCTTGCCTGCCTTGTTACGAGGACCTCATGCAACAATGGAACGCGCACCAGGTGAGTTTGCAATTCAAATACATACTCCATTTTCGAGGTGGCGGGAGGAGCTCCCTGCTGTCATTGGCATAAATGCATATGGAGCAGAGTCATCCGGTTTCGCCAGCAGCAGCGGGTTCTCAATTGACATGTCCATTCGAAATGGGGTCGAGGTGAATACGGAAATTGAGGGAATTTATTTACATTTACCATTTAAAATTATGAGGATGAGGTATTCTGACTTTAAATGCTTTAAAATTAAATAGATTCTTGGTAAATCTACGATATCCATTTGAACCTGAAATACCAAAGAAAATCTTTATAAATACTTATTTATTATTAAGTTTATTGTGTTTGAATGAAAAGGGCAATCTATGATTTTGCTTTAATAGAAATCCATTTAAATTCTGTTTAAATTGTTGTCCAAATTGTTGTTCAGAAAACATTATAAATTAATAGTTAAAACTATGGATACCTAAGCAAACTTATGCAAACTGGTTGGTTTAATATTCGTATTTTTTTTACCGCCAACCAAATGTGAATTATAATTTCCAAATATGTCGTGAATTTATACTGTGAATTCACGAATTTAAAAATTTATCACCGAAAAGCATTCCAGCGGTTTTCGCTTTAAGGTAACCACCCAAAAGTATTAATATGCAAATAGAAATGTTTATGGATGCTGGCATGTACAAACACCCTCTTTTCAAAATATTTTGCGAAAATTTCAATATTGTTCACTCCCGCATAAATAATGGAATTCGATAAAAATCGTTAGAGGGGGGCGGTGAAAAAGAAGGGAAAAGAAGGAAATGCAAACTGAAAAACGAACAAAACAAACATTGGCAAAAGACCAGAAAAAATGAGAAAAATAGGGAAGAAACAAATTTACGAGAGCAGTTTTTCGCGTCGCACGAATCAAAATAAACAAAAATATATGGCCACGGCATCCAATCCGAATGGCGATGATTATAATGGCCATAACGATGAGGATTCGGTGATGATCATGATGATGTTGGCGCCATGGAGATTGACCCGCGAGTATAAGGCTCTCCACTGTGCGAACGATTAATCAGTGGGGTCGTCGTCGTCAGCATCCATATATATATATATACATTTATATCTTATATAGTATATTCCCCTGCGCGACTGACTGGCAAAAAGGGCAATATCAACGAGCAACAACAATCCGCAGAAGTTGGGGATCAAGGAGGGTCATTTGGGGGGAAGAAACCTCGTAAAGGCGGCGAATGTTGTGGGAATTTTGACCGCAGGGTCGCATGTATTTCTGATTAAATTTTAATAGCTTTCCGCGATTATTTCGCTTCTTTCGTTTTGTTTTTCGCATTTCGCTTCTTTTTGTTCCCCCGCACACTCTGTCTTTTCTTTTCTTTTTTTTTTTTGTCTTTCGATTTTATTTCTGAATGCGGGGATGTATTTATAAATTTGAGACATCGCCCTGGTTTCGCTCATTGATAGTGGCGGCGGAGCATGTTCCGCGGATTGGGGCAAGGAATTTGGTATAGGTCTGCTTAGTATTTGCTGAATGATTCACGGTTTTATAAGCTTATAATGAAAGTTTTCCGAGGTTGAAATTCGTCATTTATTAATAGCTAAAAAGTTGACAATCAAATTATGAGATACGATGAAATATTTTATTTGAGAACTTAAATATGAAAAGTAAACTTTCTCTTTCTGATACCTATTACTCAAACATTTATTATGTCAAATACGAGCTTCTGAGTTTGGGCTATATATTTGGACAATAGTTTATTTGCAGATATAAAATTATTTTTCTGAAAGCAATATATGGCTATCTTGTTACTTAAATTGGAAGATTGAAAGTTATAAAACTGGATTGAAAATAACTTATTATTATTTAAAATAGATATTCAGCATTAAATGCAACGCAACTTATCTCTTAAAATATTAAATCCAAGGGGTCAAGAGATGCATAATTAAATTAATTACAGAATTTCGATTCTCTGTGAAGGCTAATTCAATTTAAGGCATTTGATTTTAAAGCGAAAAAAAGCAACAAATAACTTAATTTCATATAATTTCGACCGACACTTTTGAGAGTTCGCCCGTTCGACGACTCCCACTCTTTCGCACGCAACAAAGCCCACAAATGGAAATTAATTTGTAGAGGTTCGCCGCCCACAGCCGCCATCCACCACCACCCACAGCCACCCAACGCCACCCACCGCAACGGTCGGCCCTCGGCACGAAACCAAAACAATTTGAATTTTAAATTCAGCGCAGAAAATTTCCAACATGCTATAAAAATGCAAAATTCACAGCTGGTGAGACGCTGCCGGCGTCGACGACTCTCTGAAAAACCCGGGAATGCAATGTGTAAAATGCCGGATAAATAATTAAATGCCATTAATTGGAATTGTGTAAATTTTTCGCCGGCACCGAAGTACCGAAGCCCAAACAAAAACAAGTCGAGCAAAAAAAAAATGAGTGCCCACGAAATAATAAATAAATAAATAAAGACAAATAAAATTGCAAATGCTGCAATGCAGCGAAAATCCTGAGAGGTGTGTGTAGTATTCAACCAACCAACCAGCCATCCTATTCAGGGAAAATGCAGGATGAATAAATAATCAAACTGGGGAAAAATCATAGCGACTGGATGGTTGGGGCGGCGAGACAAATTAATTAAATTTAACCCAGTAAGCCATGGAAATTCTCTGTTGGCCGGCTGCCAGCAAAAGCGTCCAAACCGAGCCTACATAACCAAACATTGTGAGTGAGTGCGATTTTCCCTCTTTCCAAATGACGCGCACCCATTTCCATTCAGCGAAAAGTGCGAAAAGAAATTTAAATATTTATGCTCGAATTTTATTTAAAGCAATTCGCGTGAAGCCAAACAAAATCAACTAATGCAAAAAATAAGAAAATTTAAATCGATCCGTTGGTCTGGCGCGATGCCAGAACCAAAATAAACGAAAAGCCATAAACTACATCTAGATAAGTTATAAACAATTGTATAAACAAATCGTTTTCGGATACCCTATAAAATTAAAAAGTGTGTAGTGGCAATGTGTGTCTTCTCGTTATAATTTTCTCATTATCGATTTATAAAAATAAGGAATTAAAATAAATTAACGGAAATTTGTAGAAATTTATTCAGAAAATGTTTAAAATTGAATTTTAAAGGGGAGCTTCCATTTCGTTGAACCCAAAACATGTTTTTTTAACCAGTTCGCTCTGCATAAATGTGCAAATTAGCCTTACTCGTTTCTCTTTTGTCTAAATATATAATATAACAATAAATCACGTTTATGTTTGCCATATAATTAAAAAATTCTCAATAAAAAATCTTAGTTCCTGTGAATGTCATTAAAAAATCCCAAAACCGTACGCTTAACTTCCCAAAAAAAAATGGGTGATAAAGTGTGGTTTTAAACATTTTATAATTTATGTGCTTGTGAATGAATTGTAAAATTAGAACAGAACAGAAGCAGAGAACAAGATTATGAGATTGACAACAATGACCTGCGGTATTCCCTTGGCTCGCAAGAATTTCCTGGCACTCTGCCCAAAAGTCAATAAAAGAAACGCAAACACGACCCAGACACTAGATCCGGATAAAACTGGCTGCGAAATCAATTCAAGCCGCAAAACGTTGCCATCATAAAAAGGAAATAAAATGCAAACGAATAAATTAAACAAATACATTTTGGTTGGGGGATAATTGGAAGATGTGTTTTCGGTTTATGGTTGGATTCTTGTGTCATGCGAAACATATTTCTATGGCGTTGAAAAAATGTTTACAGATTAAAACCAAGTTCAAGTTGATTGGCTTTAAGCACCTTATTTTATTGGCAATTGTTTTATAACAAGTTAAAAAGGCTTACTTGGTTTAAATGTAATAAATTCAAAAGCATTTATTATAAAAGTGATGATAAGGAAACTTTAAAAGCGTAATTTATCTAAGTAATTTATATTAAGGTTACTTTTTGGCTGCACTTTGTTTTGATAGATGAAAACACTATTTAAAGCTTATTGAATTTCCCATAATCCGGTGGTTTATTTTTCCCTGTGTAGCATTATCTCCTTAGAAAAGACTTTCCCTGGTGTAAAAACTATCCCAAACTACAAATTGTTTACTTTCTGGCAACGCGATGAACTCCAAACCGTCGGCAATGTTGAGGCAGTGCTCCACTCCGCCTGGTCGAATGGGATCCCACTTCACGGGAGCAATAATCTCGCAATTAGGATCTCCTGTGGCCGCAAACGAAGTCCACATGCCAATCAGCCGCTCAATTGTTCGGTACTCAGGCGTATTCTTGTCCAATTTGCTCGAAAGGATGCTGTAGAACATGTATGAAATGTCATCGGCGTGGCACACTCCCCTCACCTTCTTTCCGCATTTCAATATGCGATAGTGATTGTAGTGCGGTGAATCCATATCAAATCGATACAGATAGGTTGATGAGTTGCCTGCATAAGCCAATCGAGCGAGCAAAGTGCGATGAATGTCGTGCCAAAAGTTCTTAATACTCAGGATGTGAAGGCATTCGAACAGTTCCATGCTGGCTCTTTCGGGATCATCGAAATAGGAGGTCTTTAACCTTCTCACCATCTCAGCCAACTCTTCCTTATCGATGGAGTTGCGAACCTGTTTTGGGATTATTGCCTCAAAGGCACTCAGCATGTAAAGGGAATCCTGCAAAGTACTCTGATACGAAAAGAGTCCTTCAAAAGAGGTTCCTCCTATGATCATGGGAATCTGATTGCCCCAAGCACTTGATAGTTGTTCCTGTTGGGATTTCGCAATCACACAATCCTCACCAACATAAGTTTCTATTACAGGAGCAAAAGCCAGTATATCATAATCACGATGTTCTTCCTGCGAAACAATCGCATTGCAGTAAAGAGCCAACTTGCTGGCGGGAACTTGCTTGAGAAACTCCAACAAATCCTTTTCGCTTTCCAAATCTCCAGTGTAACCGAGTTCCTTGCCCAATCTCTGAGGACATTTCTTGTCCGAATTCGTGGCCCAGCCACATAAAGCCGAACCAGACTGGACGATTGCCCGATGGAAGAGTCCTCTCGCCTGCTCCGTTTGCATAAGGATATGGGTGGAAGCTCCACCAGCAGATTCACCAAATACGGTTATATTCTCAGGATCACCATTAAAGTTGGCTATGTTCTCCTTGATCCAACGAAGTGCCTGGATTTGGTCCTTCAACCCCGCATTGCCGGGTATCTTGAGATTCTTATCCTTAAGACTCAAGAAACCTAAGGCACCCACGCGATAGTTAAAGGTGACCAACAGGACATCGTGTTTCATGAAGTAATCCGGTCCGTAGATCTCCCGGGAGGCTTCTCCGATTTGGAAACCGCCTCCATAAATCCAAACCATAACTGGCAGTGGTGTTGGCGACTCCAACTTCTTGGCGTAGACATTAAGATAAAGGCAATCCTCGGATCCTTCGGCAGTGTTCATAATGGAGTTCCTCTGCATGGGCTTATCCCTGGCATAAGTGCAATCCCTGATTCCCTGCCAGGAAATCGGAGGTTGGGGTGCTCGAAAGCGCAGTTCACCCACTGGAGGTTGGGCAAAGGGAATTCCTTCAAAGGAGTAGTAGAGCTCTCCATCATAGATGGTTTTCCTTTGCTGACCCTTCAATTGACCATATTTGGTAGTCAACTCCTTGGTGTGACCCGTGCCCAACTTGTACTGAACAACCTTATGGCCAATGATCCTGGGGGAAAAATAGGAAAAATAGTATGACTCATCATTTGGCGACGCTTTTTGCAAACTTTATACTCACTTGGCGCCCAATTTCAGCTTTTCACCAAAGCTCACGCGCAAATCCATCGCTCTTTAAACTCTCCACTTGTTTCTACTTACTAAGTAAAACTATTTGGAATATATATAGTATATATATAATCTACTTTTGGACGCAATCTCCTCTGACACTTCCAACGCGCTCGAACGCCAGACAGAGACTGAAAATGGTTCTCGCTGCTCCAGTTGATGATAAAATTGTTTAGATAGCCGCCGCACCCTCGAAAAAAAGGGGGGCCAATGGGGCGACCATAATAATTACTGCTGTTTGGACTCACTCACTCACCAAGTGGGTCGTTTTGAGTTCCATCCATATGTGGATCAGTCGATAGTCCATAATATCATGCCCCGAAATCCCTAATTGCGTTCGAACATCGCTATATGTTTTGGGGCCCAACAAGAGATAAGATTCAAGTGTCTGATTGGGCTGGAAATCAAATATTTATGGCTAATTCAACAGCTACACAGAGATTAAAAAGTGCAAATAAACCAAGGGGTTAATGTTAGATTATAATTACAATGAGGTTTATTAAGTAGGATAATGAGGGGTTTTTAGCCAGATAAATTTAAGATGAGTTCAAAGGGGAAACCAATTTCGGAAATTTATTATACGAGCTGTAAATTAAGAAACACCTTTAAACTATTTAAATCCTCATTTATGGTAATAACAGATCTTTAAACTCATGGGTGTGTTCATCAGGCAAGAATACCTTTAAATACAGTTTTTATTATTCTGATATGCTTTTTATTAAGACTACATTGTAAAGATAAGTAGGGTAAAAACTACGTTGCTTTAAATAATTAAATTTTCATCTTTAATGTCAGAGCACCTGACATACTGACAGCAAAATAGAGAGACATGCGATATTTTCTAGATGCTAAAGTTCTGATGTCTGTAATCTGTAATACATTTTTGTTACGATTCACGCAGCTGTGGCTTGCAATTTAACGAATACTATATACCGTTGCAATCTAGCAGTATCGCTTAGAATTATTCAGAAAATCTATATTTTAAAGCGAAGCACGTTTTACTAAATGATGTAATTTTGAATTTTATTAAAAGTTTAATGTTCCCTAGAAACAAATGGTTGGAGGTAATTTTTGATTAAAGATCTGACTTGTTTTACTGAGTGGTGTAATTAAAGTTCTATAAAAGTGGTAATGTTCCATTTATATAAATTGTTTAAACAAACAATTTAGTTATTTAAATCGTTTAAATAAATCCTTTAAGAATCCATCTTACTGAGTTTGCTACCCTGTTTTGCTACTTGACTCTTGCTAACCCAAATAATTCCATAAGTATCTGCGTCTGTTTTGGCGGCTTTCAGACAGATGCAAAGGCACGGAATTCAATTGCATGAAATGGGTGAAAGACCAAAGACAAACTTGGCTGTCATTAATTAAGCATTACAATGCTGCTTAGACTCGTTGCCTTCACTTGTTTGCAGCTTTTGCCTTGGCAATTCACTCTTTACATTTGCGGCAAACAACGATGACGAAGGAGATGACTTAAGAGGCTGAGTGGGTGGTAGGTGGGTGGCTTGGGTGAAAGGTGGGCGCGGTGGTGGTGATGCTGGGTGAAAGATGGGTGGTGTGGTGGTGGGCGGTTTCCTTGGTAACGAGCACAATTCGAAACGAGTGTCTCCTGCGGCTTCAGTCTCTTTCCATCTTTCCGTCTGTCTGGTCGCCTTGGCCTCTCCTCCTGTTCTTTGACGTTGTTTGTGCATTAGTTAATGTGATTATTTCACACTTCGTCTGCTCTGAACTAACATTTAATTTGGCCCCTAACCCCCACTCTCCCCCATTTGGCTTAGCATCGCCTCGTCTTCCTTCCCCTCGTTGGTTTGCTTTCTTTTGTTTGCCCCGTATCATTTGTTTGTTTGGCCGACAGTGTTTGTGTGCGTTTACTTAACTTTTGTTATCACTCTGACTGCGTTTAGGATCTCTTCTATCTGCTGCAGTTGCTCTGCGTCTTTAAATAGAACACAATTTTATTTTTAATCACTTTTATCATAATAACTTGAACGAAGGTCTTTAAATTTTTGATAAGAAAATAATTAATCTGTAAACGAGAGCAGTTAAAATCCCCCATATTTGCTTTTTGTAACAGCTGTTGATCCTAAAATTCCCAACAGGTTAAAGCGCCTTTAAAGAAGACAAAATGTCTGTAATTAGCAGAGTTACTTTTAACATCTGAATAAACAAATCTGCTATGTTGAAAAATTTTAAATTTAGTATTAAGTAAACTAAATGTATAAAAGGAAACAAGAAATCTTGTTCCACATTAAATGCATTTTAATAATAGAGAGCTTTTCAAGCCCTTTAAGTGCTGCATCCAATTTCTTAAAGCCCCTGAGCATTCTGTCTCCGAATCAAATTTAATGTTGAATTTATCACCCCCTCTACTCGGTCTTTCTGTCCAATTCAATTTTGTTTGCTGTTTCGCCTACATTGTTTCCGTTTTTGCCGTTGCCAGGTGGATTATTGGGTCTCTAAGTGTGTCTGAGTGCATCTCCCGCACATTCACATTCTGAAGCCCCCAAACCCCCAAACCGCCCCCCAAAAAGCCCACATTGTGCAGATTCCGTGCTGTGCTGTTGGTGTTGCCATCGACTAAATAAATAAACATTGCAATCTATGTTGGAGAGCGTTTGTTTGGCTGTGTGTAGCTGTTTTCTTATTTGCTCCGCTTTTCAACTCGGCGCCATTGCAATTGCACACAGGCCACGCATTTGTCTATATCCATCTGAAGTGGAAACCCTCTAGATTGAACTGAATTATCTCGCATAATTGGTGTACATTTAGCGTCTTTGATTTATAATTATATAAGTTATAAAAGAAAATACTTCAAACTCTACATTTTTAAAACTGAAACGATTACGATTAAAATGGTTTCCATTATTTACATTTAATATGATGGAAAATAGAACCATTTATATCTTTTATCAATCCATGGTAGTTTTCATCCATCCACTGAATACAGATTTCAAAGTTATTTGAATTGCGGAGACATATTCTCAAAAGTTTTTCCTTTCTAATGCCTCCTAACTTAGTTTGACTTGCGAAAAGAAAGAGTCTTCCGAAAGTTGGAGTTACAGAAGTTGGACTGTATCTATATGTACATATATATACGCTCCATCCTCGAGTTATTCGCTCTTGGCATGACGACCTCCAAGTGCCTGGCGTCTGCCTTTGCCGCTCCTCCACTTCAGCCCCCACTTCTCCTCCCTTTTCACGGCATCTTCATCGTGTTCTCCTCTTTACAGTAGTGTTTACATGAAGTTGGCAGCGCCTACTTGCCAGAGGTGATGACCCCCGACCCATTGCCCCTCGCCTTGTCCCACTTCCCTTTTTTGCTACTGTTTTTCCCCAACACTTTTCTTTTTTTTTTTTTTTCTGTCCCACTGTTTTTGCTCATAATTTTTTTATTCGCCTAACACTTCTCTTTTTGGTGGAATTTGCTGGTTTTTGCCACTGTCCATTTTTCAGGGTTGCCGTCATTCGGGGAATTTGAGGTATAAAACTAAACTCAATTTGGAATTCAATTAGAAAAGTATGTTTGCCCAAATCCGAAAACCAAAACAAAATCAATCAATTTTGTTTGTCATGCGAAAAACACTAAATAAAAGCATTCAAGTTGACTGCACTCTTTTTGTATGCCTTAAATTTGGTTTCCATAGAAAATGATATGCCCCTGCTATTTTAAGAGTATTGTATTATAAATATTATTTTGGTAATTGGTGTGGATATTTTAATTATGCCTTATTTATTTTGTTCATGGCGTGCAACACAATTATAAAAAAGTAGGGGAAATATTTGCATGCGAAATTGCTGAAATATTCAAATTTATTATTGCACATTGGCGTACACTTGCAAATACCAATTAAATTTTAATCGTTTTCAAATAATTTCACTTATTTATACCCAAGATTTCTGCGAACTGATTTAATTTGTTTAATTTACAATATTCTTCTTTTCGTTTTAAAAAAATGTTTTTAAAAACTTGAAGTTCCTGGTGCGAATCGCATTTTTTAAATATATATTTTTAAAATCTAAGAACTTATCAAAAATTATTATAAAAGTTAAAGAGAAATTGTTACTCTTGTAAAAATTATAGCATACTTTCTGGCGTCCTTATAAGGCAAAGCTTGAAGCAGACTTAATAAAAGTGTGATACTTTTTCGATATTTTCTATATAAAAAGATGGAATATATGGTTTTTTATGAGTTAGCAAATACTGAACTAGTTCAGTATTTAAAGTGTAAAATTTTAAAAGGAAAGTCATTAACTAAAATCGGTTTTAACAGTCAAAATTTAACTGATTAGCAACGTTTTCTGTAGTAAAACTCTGGCTGATAAGTATATTTTTAAAAGTGTGAATGACTTCTCAAATTTTATTCGTGCTTAAGGTGGTTATTAAACAAAGTACCTAACTAACTACTTAATAAGCAAGTGAGCCTGATTACCGAACTAGTTCCTTTATTCGCTTTCTCAGCAGCTGTTATCTGCTCTTCAGCTTTTTGCGTTGTTTTTGTCTCCCCATTCGCCGCTCCAATTGAATGCGAATGTGGTTCACTTCATTTCGTTGCTCCCTTTTGACTTTTCAATTCGTAGAGCCATGCGTTTGTGTGGGTGTAAGGGGGCGAACGTGAGCGTGTGTGTCTGTGTGAGCTCCCCATGAAGGCCCGCAGTCGACGTCGCAGCGACTTCGTTGTTTGTTTTGTTTGTTTGCGTTTGTTTTAGCTGCTTTGCTGTTGGCTTTGCCTTTTGCTTTTTGCCTTTCTGCTTTGTTTTTCTTGCGGGCACAAGAACGTATGGCGGCAGCAACAACTACCACAATAAAGCACAGGGCTCTATCAGCAAAGTCGACGGCGACGTCGCGGTCGACGTCACAGCCAGCGCCGACGGCGGCAGCGGTCGCTCGATCCGTTCTTGCCGCCGCAGTCGTCGCCGCAGTCGTCAGTCGTCGTCGTCCATTATATGTACCGTTCCATCGTCGCGCGATTTTCAATCTCAATTCGCAATTGTTTATTGCTAAAAAAAAAGGAAGAAAAGTGTATGAGTGTGTGTGTTATCAACAACAAATGCCAGTATGTGTGCCAAATCAAAATTGATAAATGCACAATATTAAGTGTGACAACAACAACAGCAAGAAAACAACGAAAAACAG